CGTATCCTCTGTTCCACTGGCAGTGTACCGGCTCGGGCGGCTTGGGTCTTGCGAGGCCGCGACGCGCTTTGCGCAGGGTCAGAAAATTACTTCCTGAGCATTTTCGGACGCACACCATCGTTGGGCCAGACCGCAAGGCATACAAGATGTCCGCAACCTGATATGTGCCATATCCCACATAATGTTGCTTGTGTGCGTAAGCTAAGCCTGCGTATCCAGCTTACGCACACGTTCAAGAGATATGGGGAGTCGCTGCTCGGGGAGCACGCAAGCAAACGCAGTGCAAGACCAGGACGAAGTGACCGCGACCGGCGATACTGTGCAGAGAGAGGGGATAGGAAAAATTAGAAAAAATTGACTTTGGGTACGATAGCATTTCTAGCAGTCTTGTTTCGGGTAGGACGCAACTGTCAAAGTGCTGCCCAATGTCGAACACTTTTCTACATGTGACATGTGTCACAGGGCTTCACGCGTGTTCGAAAATGCACGTTTGGCAAAAGGCATGTTGAGAAGAACAAACAATCACTCATAAGCGTGCACAACCCCCACAAGCTAAAAAAAAACATTTTGTTTACGCTTCAAATGAATTTTTTGAGTCAACTATCTTTTAGTCTATCCTTACTATCTCTACTTTACATACTGAGACTGACGACTAATCTCCTCTAACTACGAATTCCTTCCAATCAAAAGAATTATGAAGTTATGACGGATCAGTGGCATGATATGAGGCATAAAATTTTACCACCCATTGATATACACTTGACTTTGACCCGTCTTTTGCTTTTAATAGCCCTGAAGAAGCTGTGGACTGGAAACACCATATTCTCGAAAATACAATACACCATATTTTCAAAAATACAATAATCGTCACTGGCAAGCTGTAACGTGCAATCTTCCCATACAGAAATAGATTTTCAGAGAAACCACAGAAAAAATCAAGATAGGGACTTCATATCTTAGTGTTTTGATTGCTCAGTGCTTGTCTGCGTCAGCTGTCCAATATAAGAATGATATGTTACCCATAATTGAAAATACGCCCTCTAATCAAGAGTGGTACTCTTTTGTTTTCTTCACCACAGCACCGCTGATACTTCACAATATTACAAGATTTAATATTGCTTATATGTATTAAGCACTGCTCAAGCTGTGTTAATTTTTCTTTGTTAAACCTATCAAAGTCTATGTTGTCCTACTCTAATATCATCTGATGACAGCAATCTGTTCAAAAAATGAGATTGTACCTTGCAGTTATCCCTTTCGACATATGACCCTGAATACATGGTAATTATGTTGTCATCTAAGTCATCCAAAATTCAGCATGAAAAGAGATGTTCAGATTAGTAAAAAACTTCTTCTAGCGGCTGATCACAGATACCGAGTAATAAACAGCTTCAAAATACTTCCTGCACAAAATCTTTCTAACAACCAAACAGATGAATCGACTAAGAATCCGACGAAATGTATGCACTGCAACTAAGGGCAAATTTGGCTGCAACGTGGATCTCTCAAGCACTTTAAAGGCAGCGTCCGCGCAAAAAGTCGATTTTGAGATTTTGTGCTTACCCGGGCCTATTCGCTATGCTGAATCCGAAAATCACCACTAGGGAGCGCGAAAACGGCGAAAAAGGGTTCTAACGCAGGAGGAATATCAGCAGGGGGCGGAGCGTCCGAGAAGGTGGATTCTCGCTTCCAGCTTCCGGAGCAATCTTCTCGGTTCCGATCACAAATCACTCGTTTGTACTTGGCCGGTAGCGATGTTAGGGCGACTAAAGGAACCGAGAAGATTGCTCCGGAAGCTGGGAGCGAGAATCTACCCTCTCGGACGCTCCGCCCCTGCTGATTTTCCTCCTGCGTTAGACCCCTTTTTCGCCGTTTTCGCGCTCTCTAGTGGTGATTTTCGGATTCAGCATAGCGAATAGGCCCGGGTAAGCACAAAATCTCAAAATCGACTTTTTGCCCGGACGCTGCCTTTAAGGGCAGTGGGTCGGCAGAATGAGTATCCTGACAAAACAAGGTCACGGGTAGGAGCCCCCATAATGGAAACTATCGGCAAATTTCCGACCTTTCTTTGCCACTTCTAACCCCCGAAATTTCAAGGCGAAAGCAGCGTTCATGTCCTCTCCTCTCCGACACCGCCCACCCCATGGACGAGTGAATTCCACGGCCAGAGCGCGCATGCCCAATGCTATAAGCATAAGGATCCCGCAACGACTCTGCGTCTTCGCCATGGCGGGCTTCGCGTTCACTCGTCCGTAGGGTGGACGGGGTCGGAGAGGAGAGGAGATGAGCGCGCTTTCGCTTTGAAATTTCGGGGGTTAGAAGCAGCAAAGAAAGATCGGACTTTGGCCGGCAGTTTCATTGTGGGGGCTCCTACACTGACCTTGTTTTGCCAAGGGTCTCATTCCGCGGATCCACTGCCTTTAAAGAACCAACTAACAGCTGCATCTAACACTCCCCCCCCCCTAGTCGGGGAGGCAGCAGGTCGAAAGAACTTTATATCCTGAGGCTTCACATATCTGTCTCACAATGTCCATCACACAGGTATTCCTGCTAAGCATCACTATGAACATATCCGAATTAGAGCACTGTTGTATAAGCTGCGTTCTTTTTGTCACCCCTTGGTGTGATCCCCAGCGCCCAGCCTTCTTTTCTTCGTAGTAAATTATTCTTTTCTGAGGCTGATGAAAACAAAGCTGTGTAGATTATCTATCAATGCTAAGCATGTTTCTGATTCAAGCAAACTAGCAGGCATACCCGGTTCCGCCCGGCCCTGTCAAAACACTATTTAAAGGTTACTATTCCTGTTCTTGTACAAACCTTTCCCTGGGCCCATTTCTACTTGCCAATTCTCTATCCCCGTTTTGTTTCCGTAATCAACATGCCTGACCACTTACCACCCTGTGACTCCCGGCCCCGGAGATCAACTTTGCAAAAGAATCGATAAAGTCTATGAAAGATACAGATAATTCTGTAAACTAATATTGTATTCGTAATCGGCGTGCTCACTCATCCCCCTGTACCAACTCTCAGCCCCTCGAATCTCGCAAAAATCGATAAAAATCGATAAAATCGGTATTGATCCATGACGAAAACTAGCCTATGACATCTGCCCCGCTCGAAGTGTATGTCTGCCAAATTTGGTTCGGATTGTTTCAAAAATAGAAATTTCTATTCGGAACACCAGTACAGACAGATGCGCACGTATAAATAGACTTTAGCTATATATACATACACAGTGTCCCAAAAAGATGTGCACACTGTTTGATCGTTGATAACTCTCTTGCTTTCATGTGTTTTGCCGAGCTGAGGTGTCATTCTGTAGAGCGAGGATAGATTTACAGTATAGAGCGAATCATCAATCACTCTTCGTTACTGTAGGACCACGGTATGAACTTTCACCATACAGCGTCACCGCGGAATAAGCCTTTTGCTGAAATAATTTCGAAAAAATCTAAAAATTTACGTAGCAAGGTTTTCAGGCGTGCTGATTCCACTACATAACTTTCCACCAACTTTTCGAGCTTTTTTGATGGTGTATTCACATTTCTGACAAACATTGACGAATCAGCCGTTACCCTAAATCTGAAATAATTCATGAAAGAAACCGGGCACTGACGTGCAATTTTCATATTCAGAATCAGCAACTTCGATTAACCTAGTTCAAGAGTTTCTGACTTGTTTGGCTTTATTTCTAAGGCAGAATACCGCTTTCAATGGCTTAAAATCATCGAAATTCCTACCGTTATCCTACAGTAATGAAGAGCTGTTGATAAGTCGCTCCATACTGTAAATCTAAGTTTATCCTCGCTCTAAACAATGGTATCTCAAGCTCAGCAAAAGACTTGAAAGCAAGAGAGTTATTAACAATCAAATAGTGTGCACGTCTTTTTGGACACATTGTATATGATAAGAAAAATCTTGATGAAGCGATTTGTTAAGCTGGACAGCAAAATCGTAGTTCTAAAACTTTTAATTTACTACTTTTTGGCTTTCGCAGTCTTTTATGCGAAAACGTAATCAGATGTTATACGACTACTTTAGTCGAGCGTATCGTATCCTTGGAAGGAAGCCTTATCTGCTCTTTTGGCTTGAAGAGATTTTCAAACGTATTTCGCATCTAAAATGTGAAAAAAAATGAAAATTTCGCAGGTTCTCAGCTGTTTTGGAGGCACAAAATTTCAGCTTAATCAGTGGGCACGAAGAAGAAGCTTTGGGTTGCTGCTTTTGAGCATAGCCCGGCATCGGCTCGATCGTAGGCCTGCACTCGATCTGCCCTCAACTCTTTTTAAGCTGTCATCGTAAGCTTAAAATAAAGTAGAAGCATTCTATATACAAAAAGAAGATTGTACATACTCACGGATGTTTACAAACTCGACCTTTGCATCTTTTTGAGTGTAAGTTAGGGCTGGGCCAGCGTACGCCGCGTATGCTCCTATACGAAATATACGTCACGTACGCACGTACGCCGCGCACTCTAGCTCAACCCTTACGCTGCTATGGTGTTACGCAGATTCTAAATAGCTTAAAGAGTAGAAGGGATGGGAGGGGGACTATATGTCTCCGATAGGCTCCACTCCGCTCGGACAGGTAGTACAAATTTGCCTGTAATGAGTAGAGCTCTGTCGCAAATGTCGGCGTGGGACCGGCTCCGTTTGGCAACATATAGTCCTGTACCCGCGTTAAGGCTTGATTTTCGGCAGTAGCCGTTCGTTAGCGAAAAGAGTTTGTATTGTATGCTTGCGCATGATCCCCTTGATGATTTTGACCAAAGCGGAACATAACTTTGAGGCTTGCTGCAATTTCTACATGATGTCTCTCGAACTCATGCTGGGATCTAGCATTTTGTTACAATGGTATACGGAATTCAGTCATACAAATAATGTCTTTACTCTTCGCTCATAGGAACCCAAGAAAAAAGAGTTGGAAGGCAGAGGTTTTAGCTTAGACTTGCGGTTAGGTCGATTCGGAGTTGCTTCGACAGCAAAATGTCACATATTTCCAGTGCTCTTGTCACGAACAAAGTGGAAGGTAAACAAAATCTTATCCCTTTTTCCACCCTACAACTGCAATTTGCAATCAATGCAGACTTCAGGAGCAAAGTACATGTGTAAGTATTTTCAAATTGGAAAGCAGATAATCGGTTCTTTTGAAGGTACGACACAGCTCGACTAAACGCAATTTGTCTTTTGCTGCGCAACATCTACATCTCTACATCTCGGAAGCTACAGTCTTCTCCGCAGTAGGCGAAACATTCTTAGTGGAGCAGCGCGTACCGCCACTGGCTCAGCGAGATAGGTTAGAATGAAGAGACGCAGACTGCAAAGCTGCGCGAAGTTGTGTAGCGGACTTCCGCCAGCCCGCATTCCGTTTATACATTGCGAGTTAAAATTTACTATGGTGCTTTGATGAATGGGAATTTTAGGTGGACCTATAATTCTAGCCAGCCTTTGAGCTTGCTTTTTATGATTCTTCTTGAATAACCAAATGAGAGTGGGGGATAACGATAACTGCTAGTAGGCTAATCACGCGCAGAGGTGCGATAGGTGGAGCCGGGCCCCCCAAAAGCGAAGGTGGTTCCAGCTACCACTGGCCGGCCAAAAGTGAAGGTGGTAGTGCCGGACACTCACCTCTCAAAAATGTCGACCGGGAGGGGGGGGCAGCTACCACTGGCCAGCAAAAGTGAAGGTGGTAGTGCCGGACACTCACCTCTCAAAAACGTTGACCGGGGGGGGGGGGGGGGTAGAGAGGGGGGAAAGCACAGGACGGACTTTGGGTCTGGGTTTTTTGGGTTTTTTTTCGGACTTTTGGGTCTTGATTTTTTTGATGAAACTGAAAAAAAGAAAATTAAGCAAAACGAATGCAAAAGAAAAGTATTGAGAGCATATTCTATGTAGTGGAATTCGCCGTCGCCCACTGCGAGCACCTGGAGGCCATCACCGGCATGGACGCATATACGCCTCAGCACTTTCTACGATAGAGCAGAGCTTCATGATGACTTCGGATAACTGAAGAGCTCTAACCCAACGGTCCTCTTCAGGGCCAATAACTGTGACCCAGCGGCCCTCTTTAGGGCCACAAATACGATGAGTACAACTGCATAAATATTTTAAATAAACGTGTTAATGAAATCGTGTATTTGTGAGCGATATTTAACTACACTTTATGTGTTTTATTAAGTACATTTTGTTGTGACGTACTGCGAAGAAAGTAGATCGATCCAGGCAGTAACCGCCGAGAACCAGAATTTCGAATGATAAAATAATGAAAAATCGTGAAAAATCATTCCACTGTTACAAATCTGCTGGTTGAAGAGCTCCGCAGTTGCGACTTCATAGGTTTTGAAGGGTAAGTGTTGTTCTACCAGACAGTGAAAAAATCAGTTTGATTTGAGGAGTGGCCGCCGAGAACGAGAATTTTGAAAAACCTTAAAAATATCCTCAATTTTAGGTTGCTCAATGACAACTGTCATTTAAACTCTTATAAATCCGGACTTTGAAGGTGTCTGGTGTTGCGACTTCATAGGTTCTGTAGTGTGAGGTTTGCCCTATCAGAATATGTTTTGGCTGTACCGATCCATTGCAACATCGCCGAGATCCAGGCTCTTAAAAAAGCAGGTAAAAAACCGTTTTTCAGCTCATAACTTCTTCAGAATTGCATGAATCATGTTGCGACTTCATAGGTTGGATTCTCCTCATCAAGAGCTTTCAAATGATATATAATATGCGGGGAACTCACGCTTCCCACGGCATGTGCTCGGGGGTGGAGTACTTCTCTTCACTAATTCTCCACTGGCGGTCTCCAGCCAATGCATTGAAATGGGCGGGGTGGAGAATTAGTGAAGAGAAGTACTCCACCCCGGGTTAGAGCCGCAAAAAACATTAAATCCCCCACATACTATGTATCATTTGAAAGCTCTTGATGAGGAGAATCCAACCTATGAAGTCGCAACATGATTCATGCAATTCTGAAGAAGTTATGAGCTGAAAAACGGTTTTTTACCTGCTTTTTTAAGAGCCTGGATCTCGGCGATGTTTCAATGGATCGGTACAGCTAAAACATATTCTGATAGGGCAAACCTCACACAACAAAACCTATGAAGTCGCAATATCACACACCCTCAGAGTCCGGATTTATAAGAGTTTAAATGTCATTTGTCATTAAGCAAACCTAAAATTGAGAAGATTTTAAAGGTTTTTCAAAATTCTCGTTCTCGGCGGTCACTTCTCAAATCAAACTGAATCCTTTACTGTCTGGTAGAACAACACTCACCCTTCAAAACCTATGAAGTCGCAACTGCGGAGGTCTTCAGCCAGCAGATTTGTAACAGTGGAATGATTTTTCACGATTTTTCATTATTTTACTATTCGAAATTCTGGTTCCTCGGCGGTTACTGTTTGGATCGACCTACTACATAGATATGCTCTTGATACTTTTTTTACATTCCTTTTGCTTATTTTCCTTCTTTTGAGCTTTAGCAAAAAAATTTTCAAACCAAAAGTGAAGGTGGTCACCCTGTACCAGCTCAAAAGTGAAGGTAGGCGGAGAATCGGCTCCGACTATCGCACCTCTGATCACGCGACTGTACTAAATCTTGGATCGATTCACTGGCGATTATGTAACCTACCGCTATACTGGAATAGACCTGTGATGGCCAGCACTGTATAGTAGATCCTCCAACAAGGCTATAAACGAAGCTCGGAGCAAAAAAAGGATCAAAGAAGCATAGAATTTGCTCCGAAAGAGGTGAAGACCTCGCCTTTGGAGCAGATGCCGCCTATCCATCAATTTACCCCAAGCTGAAGAAGGCATTGTCGCCCACACACTCATGACCATAAAATTCCGCAGATTCCGCAACGATTCTAGTTGACCTTGACGAACCTTGCGTCCTTGCGTTCGAATTCGAATTTAGGAGCTTTGGAAGAAGCCATTTCGACATTTTCGCGCTTTCCATGCTGCATAACTTCAATCAGTGGGACAAAGCTCAGCTAGACGAAAATTTGTAGAGTGAATTTTTGCAGGGACGTTGCCCCTCTTTGAAAAATGTTCAGTTTTTGCTTTCCTCAAGTTTCGAAGCTTCCTTTTTAGCAAAATCTTCAAAAGAAAAATTTCGATTTACTGCATTGTTGTTCATGTTCCCGACAATTTTTCGCGATTGATATTGCATTGCTTTGTGTCTCTTCCTTTTTCTTTGGACAAACTTTATTCACTTTATACAAGGCACCTTTTCAAACATTCATTACCTTTTATTCTTTATTCTTAGACTAGGGAAAGCACAATAAGATCGCTTAGAAATGAGAAGGCCATTGGTTCAATCTAACTCAGAACAAGTTTTTCTTCTTCACGAAATAATCTGCTGTAGTGCTGAAAGCCGACAAGCAGTACTTTTCTATTTTCTCATTCATTTTCACTATCTTACCTTTTTAATGGCGCAAGAGGAAGATTTAGCGGGTTGGTCGATTCTTCTGTGACTGCTTTCTTCATGTCTAATGTAATGTTCTCAGTGCTGTAAAATTTTATTGTTTTGTTGCCTTTTTTCAGCCATTTACTTCTGATAAAATCTTTCGAAGTCTTGCATGTCTATTTCTGCAACCTCCTTTTTGTAGCGCCTCGCCATGGCTTGTAGGTTGTTAAAAAGAAATCATTTAGATTTTGGCACCAAATCTTCTACTTCTCATTGTTCTAGAAATAGCTTCTAATTACAGGTACTGTAATTTATCAGTGTCTTATTCATGAACATTCAACTCTGTGCAACGCAGCATAATGATTTTTAAAGAATAACGATACAGACATAAAAATCACCAGTAACGCCCCTAACACACCTGCATGAAAATAAAAGTGGCTGTTACTTCAACGAATAGATAAAACACTAGTTATGATTCTGCTTAAGTGTACTTCTAATGGTTTTTAAGTCATATTTGCTATATGTCGCATCAATATGATAATAAGTGCAAAACAATTTATTTGTGCAGGGTAAACAAGAATGGCAAGCGCAAACCAGAATAAAATTGCTCCCGAGCAATCTAGTCTTGACTCAGTACGCTTCGCAGAAAAGCCAAAACAGGTAACCTTCGAGCAATTTATGGTGGAACATTTAGGCAGTCTTGGAAGGTAATAGGCATTCCAAAATTCTAGATCAAAGACGTTTTCATTTTTTACAGGTATCAGTTGATACAGTTTCTTCTGGTGTGTATCCCCAGTGCGTTTGTATCTCTACACGTAATGAGCTGGACATTTGTTTCAATCCCTTCGTGAGTAGCTTTTAAGACTTTGGTTTCTGTAATGTTAGTAATCAAGGTGCTATCTTAATGTGCTATGACAACTGCGATAATGATACAGGAAAAATCCACTTGTTGATATGAACAGCGCGGCCACACCTATTTTCAGTTCTCAATCTATTGTGCATGTCAGAGATGCTGCCCACTCCAGAATGAGACTATTCTTAAAGGTGGCATGCTTAAAGATGGTTTGCGTGGGACTAAACCGCTCTCTGTATCGAGAATTGATAAACGATTTTTCGAGAAACTGAATATTTCTTTAACTACCAAGGATAAAAATTACAGCCGGTTTACTAAAAACTCGACTTACTTTAGAAAGCTATATTATACTCACTTGTCAGGACCGTAGCGATAGAGAACGGAATTCTCTGAGGGAACTTGAACTCGCAAGGGAAGGATGGTTGGTTGAAGTAGATTTTTTGAAGAGATGTGCGCCATTGTGGTGTACATAAAAAGCTGATTCCAAATCTATCTTTCCTATCTGCGGAGCTTCACCGGGCAAGGAGTTATAAGCGTTTTTTGGAGCAAAAAATCTAAAGTGGAAAAAAGGTGAAAACAGTCGTGGCCTTTTTTTCTAGCCTTCGAATAAAGCAGCGAGAATTATCAAAGCACTTCGTGCGATGCATACTCTTACATAAATTAAAATCGCACTCCGCTGCTTCATTTGAGCTGTAGAAAAAATTTGGCAACTAAATCTATACCAGAAAATCACCGAATTTCTTGCTCTAGTAAACACCCATAATTTCTCGACCATGAATGATCCGCAGATATGAAAGACAGATTTGGAATCAGCGTTTTATGCACTCTAAAATGGTGTATATCCCATCTCAAAGGCCACTTCGATCAACCACCCTTCCTTATCAGGGCTGAGAGTGCCGTGTTCTAGCGCAATCGGTCTGCCCCAATTAAAGTCCGAATTCTACTACGCATTTGTTGCAATGAGGGCAAATACAAACACAAACATAGAAGTAAAAACATGAGTTGTCATTTGAAAAACTTTGAGCATGTTCAAGATGTTCTGGTGGTGAAAACTGCACAATTAACGGATACTCCGCTGCCGATAGGGTGAGCTTTCAAAGTTGTATGACATCAAAACGTGTGATAAGCAGTATCATTCAGTGGAATTTGCAAGGAGATAGAGCTTGGATTAAAGCTACTGTCCAGTCACTCTACTACATTGGCCACATGGTCGGGGCTACACTTTGGGGAATCGTCAGCGACAAGTATAGACTTTTTATGCTGTTTTGTCAAGACTGATAACGTGTAATCAGATTTGGGAGGAAAAAAGCGTATTGTATTGCAATCACTGCTCAAATTTCTTGTGGATTAGTGCTGATTATCGCACCAACGTGGTGGCTTTTCGGTATTTTTAAGTGAATTCCTACTTTACCGATAGTCTCCCTACATCATTCATAGCATTACCTTGTTCAGACTTGGAACCGGAGTTGCTCATCCTGGTCTTTACGCAGTATCTATAGTACTTGCAACGGAGTTGCTTGGAGCTACATGGAGAAGACTTTCGGCGATTGGCGCCGGAATCTTGGGGGCAGTTGGAGAAGTAGGTAATCTGGTCAAATATTGATATGTACTGCAACAATTTGCAGTTGATTCTTGCCGGCCTGGCTTACCTGATTCGTGATTATCGAGCGTTGCACGCAGCTTTTGTGCTACCATCATTACTATTCATCTCTTACTGGTGGTACGCCCTCAATGACCGAATGTGAGACCCACTGTTCCCGTTAATACCGAACATAGGTTGGTGCCAGAAAGTCTTCGATGGCTTGTGTTGCAAGGACGTTTCGACGAAGCTGATCGGGTAATGAGTAAAGCAGCACGGATAAATAAAGCCAATATACCAGACAAATGGTGATAATTTGCAATCAGTAAAATTGACAATATGAGCTGCATAAGAATAAAACTTTGTAGGTGGGAAAAGCTGGAAATATCGGCAAACACCAAACAGACCGCTGGGTTTCTAGACCTCTTTCGCACACAGAAGCTCAGACGAAGAATACTTGTAGCTATTCTTGTATGGTGAGTTTGAGGAAGACTCATACCTCCTTTTTAGCATCCCAGTCTAGAATGCTTTATAAAAGCTTTATTCTATGAGACACGTGTTCGTGCAGCAGTGATGCATTTTCCTATGAGGAATCTGCAGTGTGCCTACCTGACAAGTTTTGCTTTGCAGCCATCATCTGCTCACCTTTAATTGCAAGACCCTCTCAAAAGTCACTGGTAATTCCAAAATGGAAGGTGAGGCACAACTCATTCATGTCCTGTAGCTCCATTGCGCTTTCAACTTTTTTTTTTAAAATAGAATGCGCAGAAATGTGACTGTGAAATGTTGTCCTTGAGTATTTTGAATATCACTGAGTTTTTTATCCACAAAAAATTTAAGCGGCTAGAAACTTCTTTAAAGCACTTTTGACGGAAGCCATAGTGTGCTGCTGACTGCAATGTGAGCAGCTGCAGACTGCATTTGTCACTATTATCTTCTACGATGTCACTATTATTATCTACGATGCTAGTAATTGATATCTACATTTGTAGGCCTGTAAACAGTATGGTGTATTATGGTTTGACTATGAAAAGCGACGTCGGCGGTGGCAGCCTATACGTGAATTTTGCTATTAGTGCAGCTATGGAATTACCTGGCCTAATAGTGCTGTATCTTCTCATGGACAGGATTGGAAGGCGACGGCTCATTTCCTGCAGCTTAGCTATCGCCGGGATTTGTCTTGTTCTAAATTGGGCCATTGGAGATAATGGTGGGTAGCAAAAAAGCTTTATTGAATAAGATTTCCACCTCAGCCCGTCTTCCGGTGATTCCAGTAGTAATTTCAGTGCCAGTTTACTGGGGAATGGTGCAAATAGCTATTGCTAAAGGAGCAATCACCGTGTCTTATACTGGAGTGTACGCATATACATCCGAGATGTTTCCCACTGTGATACGCAATACAGCTGTTGGATGTTGTTCGACGGCTTCACGTATTGGAGCTATCGCGGCTTCATATGTAGCGCTATGGCTTGTGAGTTTCCCAATGCTATACGCGATGAGTAAGTGAAGACGAAACAGCTTGATTACAGGTTGACGAATACGGCAAGCTTGCCATGGTAATTCCGTTTTCCTTACTTGCTCTGATATCTGCAGCTTTGACAGCTTTATTACTGCCGGAAACTATGAATAAACCACTGCCTGAAACGATAGATGATGTTGAGGGCAAAAATCAATAACCTCATTTGCAGAACAAGATTTGATTTCTAACTTGCATCACTTCTTCTGCCTAATAAACCGATCTATTCTATCAGATTCGTCGTTCAAAAGAAAATTGTTCTCATTACAGCATAATTGCCTTCTCAACCTTAAACTAAAGTTAACGAGTTCAAAATGAGGCGCATGGAGAATGTCTCTTTAGAAAGTAGCAATGCCACAGTTGTCTGTCTGAACAAATCTGCCGAGACGCCTTTGCACTAGCAAACAAAAATACTTGAGTTCCAGAAAGCTACATTGCTTACCTTTTTCACTAGAAAACTCATGAAAAGACGAATTTGATAGGCACACTTGCCTGCAAATGCCAAATACTTGTATTAGAAGCGGATAACAATTGAAACAGAGGCATGCGCACGATTAGTTATAATCTATGACTTCTTTTTCTTTGAGGTTTCAATTTTACAATTGTAAACTACATTCGCTTCAATTTTCAACTCATTTTTGTACATGAAAAAGTCATAACTATATGTATTTCACGTACCGGTTTAAAGATGATGAGAAGAAACTGTGCTGATTGAGAGAAAGTAAGGAAAAGTGGCCAAAATGATGCATTTAGCTGATGTGCAACCGAACTATCACCAATTTCTACTTACTAAGCATAAAAGGTGAAATTTTCCAGTGGTAGTTACAATCAAGGGAGTTTGCTGTACATGATAAGCTTTGGTTTCGCACATTCTCATTAGCTTCTCTCAAATTCTCTTTTTTATTTTTAAAATTGAGATTGAGAGAGAGAAGCTAATGAGAATGCGCCCAAAGGTCGTAAGCTACAACGAGTAATACAATTTTGATTGATTTTTACTGTAAGTCGATGATTTTGTTGGCTCATAGAAACGCTACGAACTTTAAAGCGAATTAATACCTTTCGACTCAATATAAATCACTACTCCGTGTATGCCCGTATAAGGACTCTTACCAAAAAAAAACTTTGGAGCTAGGAGGCAGCCAAAATCTCGTTTGTCCCTTTTCTCGTTCGCAGTGGTTGTGCTTTCAGCAACTGTTTAATACAGAAAAGAATCAGGCCCAGATTAATGCGTTGAAAACTACGAGATTTGAGCTGTCTAAATATGTATTAATGTTCACTGAAATCTCTTTGGGGGTAAGTAAATGGGAAGTGGCACAACCTCCAAAAGCTGTGACTGTTACAGCTTTCTTGGGGCCAACCTTATTAAGTTACTCTAGGCTTTTTAGATCGTGGAGACCGCACAACCTTCTAACTTTCACAGTAGAATTTTACTCAGAAATTTCTAGAAAAAGCTGTGTGGCAAATATTGGCTACGGTAGCATGCTAAATCTGCACCACTGCGTATATTGCAAGAGAGGGGTCAAAAATATACACATTCGATGGCTTTAATTTCAATAAAAACTTTTGATTTCGAGCTTGGTAGAGAAAGGAGATCTCGAGCTTTTGACTACGCAATTCAAATTTTTTGTTCATATAAATAACAACAACACAGGCTAATTACCCTAATTTCACAAGTACAAGACGACTTTCGAGCAAGCCGCTCAGCCTCGGCGTTGTGTTTCGGAAGACGAAACTTATGCCGCACGAAACTATCAGGCAATAAGCAACACGTAATATGGTTCTTTGGTCACGAAATTCATTGGTATGTTCAAGGTGGTTGAGTTTAGCAAAAAAAAAACAGGTGCGTCTTGTACTCGTAAAATTAGGGTAATGAGAGTACTCGAAAAGTGATTCTTCGAATTTTGTTTATAGAAATGTTTAGAACGGAAATTTGGACTTATTTATGGTCACGGTTTGATGATCTAGTAACTAAAAAAGTCGATATGGTTGGTTGTCGCTACGATTAGTTATGTTTTGACTCATTCAACGATTCGATGACTTGTCTCAAATTGTTTCTCTAAAATGCATTATATTAGGTTGGTGCAAAAGTAATGGCCGATTTAGTGTTGCAAATTTTGCGTAACTGCCACACAGAAGTTCTGATAGTAGATATAGCAAGCGACATACATTCGAAAAGATGGTGTGGTCTTTTAGATGAAAATATGTTTGGGTCCGAAAAACGAAAATTCTTGGTTTTATAGAGCTTAGAACGCAGATGTCAAAACGCGACTCTCGGCAAATTTTCTTTCAAGGATTTTCTCTGGGACGTACGGCTGCCCAGACCGCCCAAAATATTAACAATAAAGTTTGGGGCCCTGATAGATTGAAAAAAGGACTATGAGCCGCTGGAAGAAATAAGGGAGAGAGATAGCGGCCTCGAGGCTGAAGAACGTCAAGGACGCCCATCGTCTGTTGATGACCTCCAGCTGAAGAAGATAATAGAGGATGACCCCCACAAGCTGCCAGGGAAGTAGCAGAAGAAATCGGAGTAAACCACTCTACCCGTTGTCCGCCATCTGGAGCAGATAGGAAAGGTGAAAAAGATGGCTAAATGGGTGCCGCATAAATTGAGTGCAAGTCAAATCGTGTGCCGCTACAAAATCTGCTCCAGTCTTCTTCTACGCAATAAAAATGACCCATTTCTAGATCGCATCGTCACCTGCGATGAGAAATGGATCTTGTATGATTATAGGAGAAGGTTGCCCATTGGCTGGATGTGGATGAAGCTCCGAAACATTTTCCAAAGCCAAAACACCAACTAAAATTATGATCACTGTATGGTGGTTCATCGGAAAACTATCCACTACAGCTTTGTAAATCCCGGAGAATGCATTAAAGCACAAACATACTGTGACAATCGAAGAAATGCACAGCACACTTCAAATTTTAAGTCCGGCTTTAGCGAATAAAAAAGGGCCGATTCTTCTTCAAGACACATTCGTCCACACACTGGACGTCCGACGCTCCAGAAATTGAATGAGCTGATGCAAAACCTTACTTCACCCGCCATACTCACCAGATCTTTCGCCAACGGACTACCATTTCTTCAAACATTTAGACAAATTTCTGCAAGAAAAACTTTCAAAGATTAAGGGGTGCCAAAATCGCTTTTTCAAGAATTCATCGACTCCAGAGAAGCGAGTTTTTATGCTGATGGAATATACAAGCTTGTATCCCGTTGGCTGAAATGTCTAGATTCTGTGGTTGCTTCGATTAAAAATGTTGAGAATAAGCTGAGTTACGAGGTTTTGGAATTTGCGTTCACAATCGGCCATTACTTTTGCACCAACCTAATAAAATCTACTTTTGACATGCATCATAAAGAGTATTGCACAGAATGATTAGTCTCTTTATGAATTTCCAAAACATTTTTCTATTTTTGTGCAAGAATTGTGCATCAGCCTGGATTTATTTTCACGAAGGGAGTAGCTGTATCTGGAAGATTGTCGCGAGTGGGTGCTAATAAGAATGCAAATATTAGGTTGAACCGAATGCTCTTCCCCCCCCCCCCCCGTTTTCAAAAATTCATAACTTGTTGAATTCCCAACGTATCTGCAAGAACTAAATTTTGCATAAGAGAAGAACATGCTCTTTATAGTGGTGCTTGAGCCGTTCGCTATCGAAACAGATAAAGGAGATTGATGCTGAAAACTAAAATCACACAAAATTTGATTTTTTCGTGTAGGGTCATAAAAAATCGGAAACTTGCAACAAAAATCGAAGCATTCAGTATTGTAGGTTCTTTCACAAGCTCTTTCTAACTGTGCAAAGTTTGTGCCGATTGAGCTCTCTGTGTAAAGTTATGAATTCCCTGAAAAATGCTATAATAAATCAAATTCGCCCTTTTGTATTGCTTGCTCGAAAATCATAACTTTTCACAGAGACGCTCAATTGGCGCAAACTTTGCACTGTTGGAAAGAGCTTGTGAAAGAGCCTACAATACTGACTGCTCCGATTATCGCAAGTTTCCGATTTTTTATGACCTTACACGAAAAATTAAAATTTTGATTGATTTTGGTTTTGAGCTTCTATCTCCTTCATTTGTACACATTAACGAACAGTTCAAGTAGAGTTGCAAAGAGCATGAGTTCCTCCCTTACAGAAAAATTTGAATCTTGCGAATTCGTTGAGAATACAACAAGTTATGAATTTTTGAAAATGGGTGGAAAGAACTTTAGGTTCAACCTAATATATCGTGAGAAATATCTCTTTATCATATCACCGTCTATTCACCTAAACATTGTTTCATGTAATACCCCACTCTTCTAAAGCTAATATCACTTTCGTCATAGTAAACGTGATCTAATAATCAGAAAACTTTTGACAGTATCCAGCTTTTTCAGTAAGGACGATTGGACGGTCTTCAAGTTCGTTAATGGTGAATCTTATGCACACGATCTTGGTTATAAAGGAATTCTTATGTTACAATTCAATGTTGGGGCGTCACATTCGCATTTGAAACATGCGGTGAAATTTGCTCTTTATTTAAAAGGGGCAGACATGTGTTAATTTGAAAATTAGTGGCGTTTTAGGGTTTTCAGCGCATTAAATTCAAGTCTAAGGATTACAACATGCCCTCGAAGTTTTTACAATATGAACTACAGGGAGAAACATATATGTCAACAAAAGTACATTGTCCTTAGAATGCGACTCCAGCAGGTTTACGGAAAATGCGCACATATGCAATCTCGCAGTCATCGCCAAACAATCTGGCCTTCCTCGTCTTTCCCCATTCCAGTGTCCTTCTTTTGAAATTACCTATAGCTTTAAATCATGTATATAGATACCGCGGTACGTCAAAGATAAAAATGCGCAAGGGACCCTCACTTCCAAAAAACACATAGTTCCTAATGATGTGCTCACGAGCTATTATAAGAATTGTAGGAGTTGTAACAATTACCCAAAAAATAAAGAATGTAGGAAGAAAATACTGAAATTGCCCGGAACTTCTCAATTTGTGGCAACTGTTCACGCGCAATTGCTGCCGATTCTGCAAGCGCGCTTGTGCTGTTGGGACAGGGCAGCACAATCTGCCGCTTAAAGGAGGCTTGAATAATAGTTCACACTGTTCACTACAAGAACAAGAAACGGCTACCAATTTTCAGAAAATGATCTTAAGCAAAAATCACCCAGATTGCCAACAGATTCTGCATGCATATGCTGTGGCTAAAGAACTGCACACACA